GGGCGGGGGCGGCTGCGACAGCCTGGACGGGTGGGATGGCAGGGGCTGCGGTGCCGCAGCTGCGCGGAGCCCGGACACACAGCACCACCTGCGGGCAGCCGGGGACACCGAGTCCCGGCACCGGCCCGGGCACCGGGAGGACGCCAAGAGCCCAGCCCAGGCTGGGGCCGCCGGTGACAGGAGCCCCCGAACTGCCCCGGCACTGCCGACCTGTGCCCTGTCACCAATTGCCACCAGCTGCCCCGCAGCCCGGGGACAGCGCAGCAAGAGCCCCGCGAGGGGCCGGCCCAGGCGCTGCTGCAGAAGAGCAGCTCCTGGCTCAGGGCCCCCCAGCCTCCCTCCAGCAAAACAGAACCTAGAACAGACGGTGTCATTTCCTATCCGAGGCCTGAGCTCACACGAAGAGCTGAAGGACAGCAAGGCCGTGCTGAGCCCTGGCAGGGAGGAACAGCACCTGGGGCAGGGGCTCCCAAGCTCTAGAACCACGTCCAAAAGGGCAGCAGCAGGTGGGCTGCTCTGCTCAGCTCCTGCCCTGCCTGTGCAGCTTTTAGAAGTAGAGACTGTTCAACGTCAAACCTCAAACTATTGCAGTGAGTGACTGGAAGAGCAACAACAAAAAAAACCAAACAAAAACCACAACCCTCTTCTGCCCGGAAAGTGCTGCTCCCGTTCCCACCACAGCCCCGTTGTGACACTGGGCACCAGACACTTTGCTCCAATATCCTGGCAACTCTGCAGCTGGGGGAAAGGAGGAAGCAACTGGCACTGAAGCAAGAAACTTCAGTGCAGAGGCTGGTGAGGAGAGACAGCAGAACCTCAGTATTTCACGTCATGGAAAGCTTGGGGAAGGAGTCTGAGTGTTCTCACTTGCAAAACCTGTGTCAATGCTACGATGCCATTTTAAATTTAACCTTTCGTGGGCTTTGTCTCTACATTTAAAGCTCCTCAGAGTACAAGAAACATGATGTGAGAAACAACTCTATTAGTGACTGCAAACCATGCAGGGTTTAGTGTACCTCAGGAAAACATCAGTGTTAAAGATCTTTCCAAATCTTTATAAGGTTCAAGGTGTAACGTCCCTTTCTAACAGGATCCTGTATCTTCACTTGGAATGAAACTCTCCCCTTGCACAATGCAAACTGGCTATTTGTTGCACCTATAGATTTTACCCTTTTAAAGTCAGTTGGGAGACTCACCTCTCAATAAGTCTGAGAGTGGAGGGCCACAATCCTCTGGAATTGTGTAGTCACCTTTCCCAATGTTCTCAAACAATTTATAGATGTTATCTCCTTCGAAGGGGTACAGACCCGTTGTAATGTTGTATCTGAAATGGCAGAGGGAGAAGCTGCATGAGAAAAGGCACAGACAGGAGTTCAGCTCTTACGTGACTATGTAAACCAAGAGAAGCCAAGAGGAAACTAGAAGATGAATATTTGACAGTATTTGGAATGCCTCTTTAAGCTTAGCCTTCCTTTATCACAGCCTCTTCATTCACATGAGTCAAAACCACCAAGGCGCCTCCCTGACAGGCTGAGATGGAAGAAACTTATAAATACTGAAGATATTTGTGGTTTCTATTATTACAGTAGCTGCACATCTCAGATGCTGAGAAATGGCTGGCAGTTACTCCCTGAGAGTAAAGACTTTCTCCAGCATTACAAGCACTCCAGGGAACACACACCCATCCAAAGGAGGGAGCAACACACACACCCTCCCTGCTCCTCCCAACACACAGAAGAGATGCAGGGACAGTGACAGTGCAAGCTGGAGCTCTTTGGGGGCTTCTAATTTTTTAATTGCAGTTCCTGGAGACTACACAGGCACTTACAGTGTGACCCCTGCAGACCAGATGTCTACTTTAAAGCCTGAAAAGGTGTCAAGGCCATTGGCAATTTCTGGTGGCTGGAATGCTGGCGACCCCTGGCTCGTTCTGCACGTGTCGTCCTCTGCAAACGGATGCAGCGCCTGCAGCAGGAGAGACATCAGCTTCAGACTTACAAGGCAGACAAATGGTAACTGTTAGAGAAGTTACACCTGAAGAAAAAAGGGAAGAATCTAGTACTGAAAATCTACTTAAATATCATCAGAACAGGCCACTACAGCAACCACATGCCCACAGTGACAGCTGTTGCACCTCTTTGACCCAGCTCAGACAGTCTTCACACAACAATAAGGACAAGGTGATGAAGTTTCTTGCCATTTCACCACACTTCTGGGTTTGTCCAAGAGTGATGTCTGTCTCTATATGCTTCCCAGATGGAAGTTGTGTGCTGTCATTAAAAATTTGTTGCCAATTACGATAAATACTCAAGAGTATTTATTGTACTCTGAGAACAGAGTACTCAGAGTACTCCAAAGCACTCTGCTAGTTGAATGCACAATAAATCAATCGACACCACAAAGGTGACCTAAATCTGGAGTGCCACACTTCCCACATTCCTGACCTTGCTGCAGTTCTCACATACCTCTGCTACGCCTAAATCAGATATTTTTAGTGTCCCATTGGTTGTGAGCAGGAGGTTCCCCGGCTTGATATCCTTGTGGACAATCCCTTGGCTGTGCAAGTATTCTAAGCCATCTATAAGCTGACAAAAGTACCTGCAGAGAAAGCCAGAGGAAAAGTCAAGCACTTCCGTAGACTAAGACCATGTGAAAATACTCAAAATGCCTGTGGTTCATTTAGGCTATCTGCAATCAGACACCTTTTTTAAGCAAAATGAAAATGTGACCATAAAACTACACAGTTACCACAGATCTGCTGGTCTGCACTGGTTTGACACACACAACAATCTTCTTGTATCTATTTTCAGAATTCTAATGTTCCTTTACTCACAGGGTGAAAAGGGCTTCAGATTAGCTTGTCTACTAACTAAACAGATCACACTGGATATTGCCAGTCCTTAATCCATCCAAAGACCTTTAATCTCTCTCCTGACACTGCCCTGTGGGGCTGGTCTCCCCTTGGGGAGGGCAAGTCCTCAGGGATTCCTCCGTCGCACCCGCCTGTGCAGAGCGGCAGGAACGGGGCCAGGAAGGGCTGTCGTGTGTCTTGTGAAGCAAAACACGAGCAACAGAAAACTCAACAGAAAGATGGGGTTTTGTCCAAGAATGTAAGGGCTGTCCCTGCCACCACTTCATTAGTTTCTCATTTCTTCCATGGATGTAGGGATGCAGTTATTACACAATGCCAGTTTTACTTTCAAGTGCAGCCAGCAGTCAAAGCAAGAGACTAGAACGTGCTCTTGACTTCAAGAGAGCACAGTGGTGAGAGGCTAATGCAGCCAAAGGCACAAAACTGTACTTACCCGTGAGCCTGAAAAACTGGAAACCTCTTTTCTGGGACACTGTCCAGCATTTCCTGCATCCCACACACACAGTACTCCATCACCATATACGTGAAGGCAGTTAAGGAAGCTCCAAGGTTAAACGCTCAGACGAGCGCGGTGCAAGGACCGCAGCCCCATGCCAGGGCAGCTGGGGAGCCCTGCTCCCTGCTCACACACCCCAGGGCACAGCCCGAGCTGAGCTGCACCTCCCCAGGCAGCTGCTTCTCCCAGCTGCCTGATAGGAGGATACAGGGAACCCACCAGAAAATTCCTCTGCTTGATGACCAGCTCTAACTCTGTGGCCAGACCTGAAAGAGGGCATGAACTCCACAGAAATCAAGTTGGAGACCTCACAAGAATGACAGAAATAGAATAATACTCTGAAGCAACTACAAAAAAAGTTAGGAAAGCCGTGGCAGAGGAGCTGCAGGCTGCAGCTTGTCCTTCCAATACCCATGAGCTCCCCTCACTTTCCCTGAGTTGGTTGCTCTTTGGTTTTTGTTCCAAAATGACAGAGCTGTTTGCAGTGTTTCACAGCTGCTGCCTACCCCATCCCCACGGCAGCATTTCAGTAGCAGGAGGAAGGATCCCTAGAGAGCTAGGAAGCTTTTTTGAAACTGCATGGATAAAAAAAGTTACAACAGAATGCCAAGAACCGGTGCCACTTTTAAGCATTTGTTCTTTTGCAGTGTGTTCTTGTTTTCATCTCCTTAAGCTTTAATGTTGGGGCCAAACAATGGAAGCCACACAACTTCCTAAAGCAGGAGCTGCCTGTTTTCCTCCTCTCCATGGGTTTTGCAGGCAGACGGTGGCAGAGAGAGGCCGGAACAGACCCTGAGACATCTGGTGGCTTTGCCAAGGGAGTGCACCCTGCAGACCAAGAGCAGAGACAAGCAGGGCTGTCCAGCAGCCGTGGGCTTCAGCAACACTCAGCATGTCTTTGGTCACTCTAATTACTCCTGGCAAATGACTTCTTAACCTAAGCCTAAAATAAGTTGCTTATGTCCCAGGATGCCATCTTAACTCTTGAGGCAGGAGAGGCTAAAAAGGTGACTTGTGCTCTAAGTGGGATCTGTGCTAAAGATTGTGTTTTGCAGCACATTGCATCCAGGAGCTCCAAAGATGGTGCAAACTCATTAAATTGGTGCTTCGTTCCCCACACAAGCTGCTCTCCAGGGGGAGGCTGAAGTACAAAGATTTTGTGATGGGCACGATGCCACCCAGTAAATCAGTAAGAGCAAGAATAGCATGAAGAGCTCCCAAAATTCTTTACTACCATTTCTTACTCTGGAAGAAATCTGTGAATGCCTTATATCACAGGGATGTGAAAGACGTCAACTCCCCTACCTCCAAGAGAATAATACAGTGGATGGCACAGCTGAACTCCTGGGAAGCCAAACCCAGGTCTGGTTCCCATCTACAAAGAACAGCCTGTTTTGGGTTGCATCAGCTGCCAGACTGTTTTTCACCCTTTCTCTTGTAACTGAGCCGCCTGTGGCTGGTCAGTCAGCTTAGAGTACAAGCTTTCAGTCTCCAGCAGATCTGTTACAGGAGCCCCAAGAAGACTGAGGCTCTCAATTCCTCTGATCAATAGGGTTCTGCTCCCACGCACAACTGCCCACACTGGTAACAGAAGCTGCTGGGGGGGGGCTGGGATGCTGCCTATTGAACTGGGTTTAATTTCTGCCTGGATTAGCTCTCCATCACCAGTTCTGCATTCTCAGCCACAGCAGGTCATCCAAGCAGCCCGTTAAATACTAAATGTAGTTGATACTTTAAATTCAGTCATCATAGTTTTCCTTTCACCAAAGAAAATCATTGAAGGCCTTGACTAGACAGGCAAGTTGCTAAACCACGTCCTAACCAGAGTAAGGAGGGCTGCAGCCTGCAGTTCACTTCTATCAGCAGCAGAAAACTCAGGTGAGAACAGATTCCTTCCTCCTCCTACAGGCCCAGCTTCAAGTGCCACACTGGCCATTCTGGAGATGAGGACTTTTTTTCACTTGTGAGAAGGAAGCTGACATTCCTCCCCTACACTCCTCTTGTACATAACCCTCTGCCCTGCAGGGCACTAACACAGGCATGTGCACAATTGCACAGCACAGTGAGCACAGACCTGACCTACTGAGCAGCCAGCCTGAAAGAGAGTTACTTCTCAGCAGAATCTGTTCCCAATCCTGTTTACCAGAGGCAGCACCAAGAGGCTGCAGGAAGGCTGAGAACACCAGCAGGGATGAATTCCCACTCCCAGTGGAAACCAGCTCCTCCAGGTATTGCCACTCACACCATAAGCACTTCGAGAAACAACCTTCTAAGAGTGTAGGAGATGAAAACAGTGAAATCAGCCAATACTTGCAAAGGAAAAGTATAAAAACCCAATTTGTTCTTTTGCAAACACTTGAGAAAGCCCAGCATGAAACACCCCTTCTGGCTCAGAGAGGTTATATTTCTGAATGTGACCAACCACTTTGGGTTGTCATCACCTGCTGCCAACACACGAGGTCTCTCTCGGGCTCTTTTTCCTCACCCTTCAGAATCCCAGCTCCTTATTAATTAAATGCTATCTTGTGTATAGACAGTAATTGAATTACAGCCCCTTTGGTCTGCTGAGGCTACACAAAACAAGGAAAAGTTGTAATGTTTGTTTTTATACTAATGATTTGGTGCCATAGTATGTGATCTAATTAAAGCATACAATTAAATTACCCATTTTATGAAGTACTGTAATTGCAAGGCAGTGTTTAGAAAACACTGTCAAAAATGAAAGCAACCATTTATAACATGTACTAGAGCAGATCAGCTCAGTAAGCCCACAAACTGGTTCCAGTCACAGAGCACTTGGGAGTACCAGGCTCATCAGAAAGGCTGCACTATCAAGTTCAGGCACAGAATTCCATGATCAGTGTCCATGCACACCTGGGGGACACAGGACACTGTGGAACAACAGGATAAAGTGTGAAAGTTGCACTGAGGTGACAAGGCTCAGCTCTGGATAAAGAACTGAAGAGTTTGGCCTCAAAAAGCTGAGCTGCAGCTCTCAGGGGCAATGTGCTTTCATGCTCTTACAACTGCTACAAGCTGGAGGTCACTTAAAGCACCATCACAAGGGACTTCACACAAACAACAGAACAGAGGAGGCTCAGGAGTTCATTTTCTCTTGTTAAGGAGAACCAGCAGCCAAGCTCCCAGCTGCCCAGGGAAAGCACAGACGTTGCCCAGGCACGGGCAGAGCTGCAGGCATCCAGGGCCCAGAGAACAAGCAGGGCTTTTTTAATTCTTTTGAGGGAAATAAAAAAAACAAACCCTAAACCATTGCCAAGGACTTGAAGGAAAGAGCATTACAAAAATTGATTTCACATAGCAGAGACAATAAAAGGACCATCTTCAGGCAAAGAAAGCATTAATATGCATCAGAGCTGGGAGAGAAGCTTAGAAACGACAGATCCACAGCTCTTCTTTCATCTCAGAGTTGCTGAAGGTCACACAAAAAAACCCACAGTATTTGAGGGTCAGTTCTCTCCTACCCCAGCCCTGCAACTGCACCCTGGGACAGTATTTTCATATTTTGTTTCCTAACTGGGAAGCTGGGAAACTTAAGAAAATATAGTTGTGTGGAAAGTATTCCAGACATGCAGTACGTTTAATACCACTGAAAGCAGTTTTAAGCTTAAGAAACATTCAAAATGGCCTTAACAAAGAGCAGAACTATAATGATTCAGCACTATAGCAGAGAAGAATGAGAATTCAAACCTTTACTGACAACTGGGTGAAAAAAGGATATATTTTCTGCTTCTCTTCATTGTACAACACATCTACCAACTGGATGACATTTTTGTGCCGCAATCGTCGCAGGAGTTGAATTTCCCTGCAGGAAGAGAAAAGGAAAAAAGTTATGTTAAAAAATCTTACTTCCTCACTATGGAATGAAACTGATGATTTCTAAATCACATAGATTTTAAAGACACTCCAAACTGTAACAGCCCAAGCTGCTTCCCTTAAGACTAAGCATGCTGTTTGACAGAAGGTCTGTGTGTTCTTCCATTCACTAGTCCCAGGTTAGACTATGAAGATACTTCCTGGTCTCTGATCAGGATTATAAACAAGGACCCCTCAGTTCACACCACACAGCCAGTCAGTTTTCTCTGGGCAGGAATTTTAACTCAGTGGTAAATAACAGCAGGAGAATTACCCTCAAGGAGCAACCTACCTTTGTGCTGGACATGAAACGGGTCAGAAGAAACAGTGTCACCCTGCACTCTAAAGTGAGTTTTATTCCATTTTTATCCATAAATTCTGTGCACTGCTCCCCTTTAGCTACCTGAGTGGTCAGCAGCAGGAGGCTGAAAGCAGAACAGCCCCATTCACAGTGAGCAGGAACAAGACAATGGCAAGCTGAACCTGCACCATGCTGAGCCAGCCCACAGGAATAGAGTCCTGGTGAGATCCTGCTCAGGCACCAGGCTGGGTGGGAAGGGAAAGCAGCTTCAGGAGCCTCTACAAACCTTCTGACTCCATGAGCAGCACTGGTCTTGCCAGGGCAAGGTGCTGCCAGCCAGGCCTCCTCTTCCCTCTGCACAAGAGGGCTCACAGTGTCCCCTACAGTCCCCTCAGCTCAATCCTGTCCCCGAGCCCTGGGCACACACCTCACCATTCCCAGTCCACTCCAGTGCTGACTGAAGGTGTAACTGAAACCCTTCCCTGTTGCTGCTCAGACAAATCAAAGATGCAGCTTTATCAGTTTCCCTCCAATTAAAGCTCTTCAAACAGCACCAGCCTGCTGGGAGCTCAGCTCTATCAGTCTCTTCAGCTGAACCCTGCAGAAGCGCTACACTGGTGTTTACCCCAGTATCTAGGACAGTCACTTCCAAGACAAAGCTTTTATGTTCACACTTTCTGCTTCTTTATACCTAAGTGTCATCTGCAGCTACAATAGCAGAAATAAATTTGTTTAGGCTTCCAGTCTTCCTACTTCAGGGTCTGTTTCAATCAGCATCATGACACA